TACATTATACTCTTCAGTAGAAACTCATTTAAAAGTAAAGCTAATTACCTCACTTAAAATTAAATAAACCTCATCAAATAAGCACTAAATAAGGGTGTCTAAATACACTTTATACATATGTGAATTTTCTTCAGAGTTGCATGTTATTTTCCCCTTACAGTCCTCCCCTGTTCTGCCTCTGCTATTTTGGACTTGTTCAAGTCATTGCCAGTCACGTCTTATGCCTCTTTGCTCGCTCTTACTATCACATCAGTGTCTATTTGGACTTTAAAAGTGGCTTCCAACCAGCAATGCCCTGAAACTGGAACATGTAGCTGTAGCCTCGAGTCAAAGTCAGCATTGGCAGGTGGCATCAGCCACAAGTTTTCATTCCTGTGAACGACAGGGCACCCAACACAAGCAGCCCTGCTTCATCCTTTTCTGGTGCTGCACCACAACAAGAGGTGCTGGCCTTGTCTGAAGCCCATCATCAGTAGCAGATAAAGCAGACTGAACTTATTTGCTGCTTTAAAGTGTTTCAAATTAGACTCAGTGATTATATTTGGTTTTGTAGCATAGTCAGGGAGTCAGCCTGATAGCACACGTTTGAGCACGTGGAATTTTAAAAACTCAACAGAAATCAATAGAAGGTCAACTTGACTTCACAGTCTTTCCAGACGAAAGGGAGAGACACCATTATGACAGGAACTGGCCTTGTTTTGATGGAAATTTTTCCAAGCTGCTTGACGTAACTTGCACACTTCAAACTTTTGAGGGATTTGCAGCTGAAGGACTGTCACCTGGAGCTGCTAAGCCGAATTCCTCAGCAGACACTCGTCTGTACTGCAGTCATCCCCACCAACCATCACGCTTGGCTGAGGGCAAGCCCACACGGCCTCAGTAACAGCTTAATTGCTTATGACGCAACACAAACCTTCGCCTAGCCTTACAGAGAGCTCTCACAAGCATTTCTCAAAAGCCTGTGTAATTTACCAGGGAGACGCTTGAGGGGGGCTTGATCCTCACCACCCTTTAACATTTCTAGGTCTGAATCATCCCTGTTTACATTTGCTGGTGAATTCCCCTCCAGCAAAGCACACATCTGCGCTTTCAAGCCATCTGTCATAGCTTGTAGTACCTCTCTCAAGGGGCACTTCACCACTTCAGTTAAATGGGTGAGTTCTACCACTTCTCCCTGCTAAGTAATACTCCTGTCTAACTCATTTGCCTGCAGAGGCGGCTTCACACTTAGCAGGGTCAATGGCAGGACTTTTCCTATTTTTTTTTTTTTTGTTGTTGTTGTTTTGTTGTTGTTGTTGTTGTTTTTTGGTTTGGTTTTTGTTGTTGAAGTGCCATTTACCTCATGCCTAATTATTGCAGCTTATAAAGAGGCTGTTTGCCATCGCTAACCATTATTTTATTATAACCTTACCTGGAACACTAGCAGTCACTCTGAACCAGCTCTCCTTGTCACTGTGGACAGGAAAAGACTTGCACTGGTGACAGTAGGAGACCAAGACAAAAACCCAAGCTGCTCAAGTTTTAAAGGCCCTGACAACTTTCTGCAAGAAAACCTGTTTCAAAGACCACACAACCTATAACCCATCCCCTTGCACAAACCATCATTTACAATGCATCTATTCAAGGCAGGCTACCCCGGTGACTGTCCTGCAGAGTGGTTTAGCTCATCTGGTTCTGCTTAAAAACATCTTCATGTCTTATGTGCTTCTCTAAATTTACACTACTAAACCCACATTTTCATGCTAAAAGGGGTAAAGTAAATTTGGTTTTCCAGTCTAATTCCACTCTAAACTATGCTGATTCACTGTTTCTTAGGACTGCTCTGACTCCTTACTACAGAGACAAGAGCTAAAACTTTACAGAGAGGAACTAGTAACACCAAGACTACAGAGATCACTAAAGCCAGCCCACAGATAGTCCTACCTACACACAAACCCATCACTGTCCACCTCTCCCTGCAAACTAAGAACTTAAACAGGCAAATATCCAGGTGCAATCAATCAGACCCACTTAGAGAACAAAAACGAAGAGCTTCCCTCTCACCTGCTGGGTTTATGTGACCGCCTAAATGTCTCTTCTCTTTGATGATGCCAAAATTAGTTTTTTCCTAGGTTTTAACTGCCTAGTTTCTCTAGGATTGTTGTGTTTTTCTCAGTGGGGAGCAAGGACAAGGATTGCTTTTACGCCAAGGATTCCCCCTGGGGAAGAGGGACATGGAAAGGGTCAGCGACACCCTTCAGAGCAAAGGAAGGTTTCCAAGGCTTTCAAGATGATGCCCCTTTCCCTCCTCCTCCCATAGTCTGCCTGGGATAGGGAAGGGATGAAAAAAACATGCTAAAGCCCAGCTAGATCCCAAAAATTGCGCGGATTTGCAAAGATCTTCGTGCCTCTGCAAGTAAGTGTGCAATACAGCCCTCCTGGGCAAGATAACCAGAGCAACTGCTTACCACTGTAATGGGCAGTGAAAATTAACCTTGTGCAGACTATCTAATTTCCATTCTTTGACTTCTTAAAGGCTCTGAGGCTGAGCTGCTGCTCAAGCTTACTTTTGTTGGGCTTTCTGGACCTTTACAAGGGTCTTATGAAATCCACTGACTTTCAGGGCATTTCCTAAGACAAGAGGGAATGCAGAGAAGGCTCCTCTCCTTGCTTCAAAATTTGTTCATTTGGTCTATCTTTGCAGGCCTCCTCAGTTTTCTAGGTTTGATATTAAATGCATGGCACAATTCTTTTAACTCTGATACAACTACAGGTATTTCATAGTATTATTGTAGCCTCACATGTAGAGTGCCATCACAACTCACCAGTGTGAAATGGTGGTCCCTGTAGGTGTAGAGGTAGACTTAAGAGTGAGACTTACCTTCTATGGTTTTGCCATGTGTGTAACTCAGCTGCCACCCCACAGCAGAAGAGAGCAGGACTCCAGGGCAGATGGTCTGTGTAGCATGAAAGCCCACTAGGATGTGAAACACAGCAAATGTTTGAGACCTTTGTTTTTCAGGCTGAGTGGTTGTTTCTCCACAGAGGCAATCACCTCTATCTAGGGTAGAGCAGTTTTTCCCATGAAGGTCTGCACAGAGGACTGTGCTGGCTCGACAGCAAACTGCCCCCACCTGCTGCATCTCAATTTCACACAGCTCCCACAGGAATTGCTCATCACAGGACTCTCTAACCACTTCAGTTAAAATTCAGAGTCCACTGAGCGTCCTAAATTGCAGGTCTTGGCTTATAAAGCTCCTTTTGATTGACAGAAGTGGAGGACACCTTGTCTGCATAGTTCAGCAAGATGGTCTGAGGGACAACACTTGGAGTGCTGCAGCCTCTTCCTGGGGCTCTTCTAGCACAGTTGGAGCTGTAAGGCAGCTATCCTCAGCTCTACGCTTTCCCCTTTGTGAAGTGTCTTAAAGATATTGTCACTAACTTCTTGTGACAACCTCCTGGCAAGACTGATGGATGGGAAGGAGAGCCCTTGAGTGCAGAGCTAGCTGCTTGCTTGCAGCCACATGTGGCTTGAAGTAATCCAGCTCACTAACTGCAACAGGTTAGAAGATACTCCCCAGGTCTCCATCTGGGCTACACTGTGGGGAGCAATGATCTCCAATGAGGGTACAGTGATGGACATCTGGGAACACAAATTCTTCAGCTGGCACAGCTGGATCTGGAAAAGGATGTCTGTCTGTAAAGTACCTTTAAACACCATTATAGAGCTGTGTCAACAATTTGGGCTTGTACTAATTATTCCAGTTAAAATTCTCCCTACCTGTATTAACATTGCCACAAACCATTGGCTCTGTAGGCCAGGCTTAAGACTATTTAAGGTGCAGAGAATCAAGTACAGCCTATTTGTAAGCACTTTGAGCAGACATCACACAGTAAGTACCAAGTGTAATTTCTGTGTGAAATTGCCAGATTTGGCTTAGTGGTTCTCAAGGTTTACAGGTGGAAAGAGTAGAAGGACAAGACAAGCCTCAGCTGCATTACAGAGCACTTGCAGCCCATCATGGGTTCTGCCTTCTCCACTGCAGCCCAGCTGAGTGGGAGAGGAAACTGCACCAGCAGGGAAGACTGACGACAGGGAAAAGCATCTGCTGTCCTCAGTAAGAGTATCAGGTGCTGATAAGCAGACTCCAGAGAATATGAAGATAGAGTTACTCCTTACCTCTCCCATCGGGACTTCTCATGGTGGCTCCAGGCCCCTCAGACTGCACCGTGATGATAAGGCACAGCTGAGACCCCATTAACCTCATCCCTGCTTTTGAAACATTGGTACCAGTGAGTCCCACTGACCAGAGATGGACAGACGAGCAGCTCTGAACAGGGTCAGGCTCCTGAGCCTCTACATGGGTCTATATCTACCTTGTGAATGCAGTGAGGGTTTGTGGAACTGCATGACTGGAAGTAAAATATTCCAGTTAGAACAGTAAGTACATGTGATAAGCATGAAGGCACAGAGCCTAGACTTCATTAAGGTAGTTTTTATATTTTTAAAAGCAATATTAAAAAACACTGGAAAATGCAAGATAAATGTAACAGTTGCTTCTACAAGTTTTAACCTTGTATTGCTTGGCCATTTTGACATATAAATTATTGCTTACTAGCTCTCATAAATACACAACACAATAATATGTACAGAGGCATACAAGCATGAAATATGAAAAAGAAAACATTGGCAACATTAATTCTGGTAAATCAGATTATTTCATACATACCAGGTCTCATAATGGTGGATAACTACTAGCTGTAGTCCCTGAGAAGTTAGGTAAATACCTTGATTTGGGGTTTTCTATTTTATTAACTTTTAATGCAAGCTGACAGCATTACGGCACTCAGAGAGAATGGAACAGGCAGGTGTTCTTACCTCAGTTCATTGACTTCATCACAGTATTTAACAGTGTATAAGATGACAATAAATAGGCTATGCAAATAAATATTACTCTGCTAAAATGTTTAGTATTTACATTTATCTTTGTAATTTTACAGCAGCACGTCTTGTTATTTCTGGTAATATCTTTTTTTTTTTTTTGCCACTGTTATGCAAAAGCAATTTATTTCCAAGATGGGGCTAGAATCAAAAAGCTGTGTCATAGAAACATCTAAATTTGATGCAACAAAATCCCAGACCAAAGAGGTTTAGAGTGACCCAGCTTTTTCCTTTGTCCTCTCTAATTACTGCTCCGAGCTACTAAAGAAAATATGCAGATTATTTAACCCCGGGTATGATTCTGATAAACTAAACTTGCAAGATTCATGGATTTTATCCTATGTAACGTAACTGCCCTACTAAAGAATTTAAATTTTAAAAAATTACACAGTATCACCAGTGCTGGACCCTAGTGTCCCCCTTCCCTTTCACAGTGTTTACTTCAATTCTCCCAACCACCACACCTTCAAGCCGCTTGCCAGCCTGCAGCCCAGCTCTGCAATACTTCACCCATTCAACAAAGACTCTAAGGGCCTTTTATTTATTAGACATATTGGCTACAGATTTGGGCTATTTGCCTTTTCTTTACAGTAACAGTTATAAGGTCCGTATTTTCAGTGTGAAGTTGATGCACCCGTGTTGGCCCTTCAGAACAGAAATTTATATCCAAGTTATACAGGCCACTATGAAAACTAGTTTGTGAAGTTTTAAACGGTAGTCTAATTAGCCACAACACAGATAACGAAGTTAATGCTGGCTATGTGCCTTCAAACCAATTTTATGCCAGCTGCAAGGGGTAGACAACACTTCATTTAGTATAGAGTTCCTACTGGTACAAGTTAACCCATCCATTTACTTCAACAATTTTGAACTGGCAGAGTGAGAAGCCTTCAAGGTAGCTCTAGCATGCTTTCAAATCAAAGTCTGAGCACAGAGTCACCCTTCCCTCTCTCTCTTTTTTTTTTTTTCTTTTTTTCCTCCTCTTTAATTTCCTTGTCTTTTATTCTTCTCTGGCACCACTGCTGCTTCACCAGCAGTAACTACCAAAACCATCACAGAGCCAAGTGCAGTGAATTGAGAAACAGTCCCACTTTCTCACCCTGAATACCTTCTAATGTTCCTTCTCCCACAGATTTCAACAGAACAACGTATGGACTAGTGTTACACCACATGGTCTAAAGCATGCAGGCTGGTCTACATACAGGCTCCAAAAAATAATGCCACAATAAAAAATTTCACAAGGGGGAGCTCAAAACCCAGCAAACCACCCAAGTAATGCGGCTAGGGTGGGGATTCGGGGAATGCTGTAGCCAAAGGAAGAACTGCAATTACGCAAGCAGCAAATTGTATCTGATTTGTGTTCTTACACTGCAAAAAGGAGCCCACTGCAGCTAGTATCCTTATCTGAACAAGTTTTGGTCTGTTTGCACAAAAGAGTTATTTACAGTATGTGCAGTCACATCTACAGAATAACATAGGAAATTTTTACTCCATGGCCAGCAAGAGTTTATTTTTTTTTTCTTTTTACTGGGTAAAAAGAAGATTTTTTTTTTCTAAAAAAAAAAAAATCATATAATATTTGATAATAACAAATTACAAGCAAATACATTTCTGAAACATCTGTTTCCTTTACAATAGATCTATACAATATGTCACAGATGGGAAAACCGAATGCATTCTACAGATTCCCCCACAGACTACTTGTTAAAGCTGTTTTTTTTTTTAAATCCCTTTAAACCAGAGATAACACAATGATGAAGAGCATGCTACTTCAGTATTCCCACATTTGAGCAAAGGAGCATTTTCTTGCAAGTCTTCCTCATGTGGAAAACATACAATAGAGATGGGCAAGCAATGCAATGTATCATCCCTGCTCTGCAAAGGGACCGTTACCGTGAGTCAGTGTACAAACACGTGCCAGACTGCATAACACGCTGCTGTGGCACTCACTCCATTATTTCAGGGCAACTTCTTAGCACTGAAAACCAGAGCTATCATAACGGTGGTGCTTAGATGTAGGTCAACTGTAGACAAGACTTTAGAAATGCTTCCTCAGTACACACCCAGAAGTAGTACGTTTAGCTACATGAAAAACGGCTAGGGGAGGGGTGTCAGAGGAACAGAAACAGTAAAGGGACCCTGATGCTGAGGGCCTGGTGTGTGTATACAGGTAATTACACTGGTAACCTGTAAGGTGTACCCTTTAAAAACTAGAACTGTGTGCAAGCTAGGTGAAATTTTACCTGCTGAAAGAGTATTTCCAGGAGGTGTTAGGAATGTAGGTGGATCTAGGCATTGCCTCTGAACAGACACCACGGAGGCTGTAATCCAAGCAGAAAACAAAGCTCCTGCTACAGTAATTTATAACACATTAACTGCAGGTATCAGATAACTGCAGTAATCTGAGATAACTTAAAAGGAAGGAAATAACATGTTTTCAGTGTACAAACAATTGTGTCCATAAACTGAAGCCGAAGTGGATTGGTGCTTACAGTGTGTTTTAGAAAGATTCTTAAGGAGCCATAACAGCATGAACTGTTTACTGCTGACCTCCACATCACAACGCACTCTTGAGTTTCATCTGGTACGCTGTCTTTTTGTATTCCCATTCTTGGTTGTCCACACTTAAATCAAATACAACTCAGGGGAGCTGCATGGATTGCACAGTATTTTTGGCAACAATACTCGGGCAACCTTGAACTAGTGAGGTACGTACTGCGGTGAACTGAGAATCATTCCCCGTGGGGCATGTTGCTTGCTGAAATGTTTTGCTGCTGTGACACGATGATTTCTTTCATTCTAATACTGGCAGAATCTGCATTGAAAGCTACACTGGACCAAACAATATTTTCACAGAAACCAAGCTCCTGACCTCAAAGGATGCTGCTCCACTCCCTTCCGTCCTGGTGACCAGCAGGGATGGCACCAAGCTTGCCCTGCAACTCTGTGAGCAGCTCCTTTGCTGGCTCCTGCCTGATTTTCCTGCACATGTTGTATGAGCTACTGATAAAACTCAGTAAACTGTTCTCATATAGGGAAGCAACATGCTTGGCATAAACATTCACTTAATTCAAAGTGCTGCAGTTACAAGGTTATATGAAGCTGTGTACGCTCACACTCGCGGCTCTATCCTGTGAGAAAGCTCAAACAGAGCTTGCTGGTTGTCGATGACATGCAGGTGATGGACGTATGGCTTCAGCTCATGATGCTCTTTCGAAGGAACTTCATTGCCTGTAAAACAGAAGAAAGAGGATGGATCAGAAAGCCATGCCTTGTGTGTTTCTCTGCCCTTTGCCTTACCAAGACCCAGGTGTGCCAACCTGTCAGGTACTAGACAGTCACAAGAAAGATGGCTGGTGATCCAAAAGACTTGCTGTTGAAGTGCAGTGCATGAGGTAACAGCTAGATACAGAAAAGGGGAGAAGAAAGAAAGAAAGTAGGCAATGCTGGGCAGCCAGCATGCACAAAGGAGCTGACTTCCCAAGTGGAAGATTTACTCCTGCTAACAGTACAGGCAGTCCGTCCCCTGTAAGGGTGGTTCAAGGATTCCTTTGTCCACGGCTCTGGCAGCACAACAGGACCTTGAGCAGCAGTGGGCGACCCAGTCTGTAACTTTTAAACAACCTTAGCACAAATACACAAGACAGCAGGCCCCAAATAATTTTCTTCAGAGCAGGTGAAAGGTGACAGTGCAGCAGATGGGTAGGAAAGCTCTTCAAAGCTGCTCTGACAGGCCCACGCGTTTTGATCTGTTATGCTTTTGATTTCTGATCTAGTAACAGAGACGAGAGTCATGCTGTCATTTCATAGGAGTTTACACGGCAAGAAGAATTAGCTGTGTAACAGACAAATTGAAGGGTGGCTTGAATAGCAGATGTTTTCTGTTACAAGCTTTGTGCCTGACATTGGCTTGTGGGAACTCGCTCCCTGTGAAATCCCCCAGCACGGCTGGTGACCAGCAGAAGTAGAAAAGGAAAAGCCAAGCCCATGGTACAAGACCATTAAGACAAGCAGAGAAAGCAATGAAATATGTTTCCCACACATTGCTGACTGCTGACGAATGAAGGTTGGAGAGCTCTGTTCAAGTCCATGTCCTCAAGGAATTTTTAATAACATTACCATAAATTAAGAAAGAAAACTCCTCAGAATTCCCCTAACCAATCAGCTTATCTCGCACATTGGCTCCCTCTCCTTTGTTTCATTTTCATCCTTTTCTCCACGCTCTCCAGCTACACGAGAAGTTTTCCAGGAACCGACCATCCCACTTGCTTCTGGAGAGTGCTGTATGATGCTGTGTAGGTAACATGGGATGTCACTGCAGCCAGTTCTGTGTGCAGCTGCTAACAGGGCTCCCGAGCAGCTGGTTTTAGGAGCTGTTTCTGAGCAGCTATCTAACTTGAAAAATGTGGGAGAGAACAGGACAACATGATAAATTTGTGTTGGGATAGAGAGATGACCTTTTCTTCTAAGGGAATAGGATCCCAGCAGCTGTGCTGAACATACTGAAAAACTGAAAACTTGTATTTCTCATTAACACCTGAAATGACAAAAACTTGAATTATGCTATTTTCTTTGGCTGCTTTGCCTGGTTTTGAAAATGCTATTATTTGTTTTCAGGATTTAGGATATAAAAGTATTATTTCCATTAAAAAGGAATTTCAGTCTTGCTTGGAACCTAACCAGTTTCTAATCCAAAAGATTTTGGCCTGCAAACCCAATACACACGATACAGTTCATAAACAATAATAATACTCTTTGCTTAGTTTTGTTTGAGTTCTTTCCTACAGTGAGATGCCTGCTGCTCTTAGGCCAATCTAGGAATTGATGCAGTAGAAAGATTCACATTCCTGAGAGCAAAATAAGCCCACTAGAAAAGGAAACTGCCCATAAAGTCTCAATAAATATTCAGTGAATTCATTTCATGCCTAAATGAATTTAAGGAAAAAAAAAAAAAAAAGTGCCTACAGGGATGTCTGTATAAGCTGCTTTTTAAATGCCAGCTTCACAATAAATCAAGTCTGTGGTAAAATAAAATAACAATCACGTACTTCAAACTACCAGATTATATGATAAATCTCAGGTATTAACCTTGGATTTATGTTGCAACACTTACAAAACCGCTTGGGAAAAAAAAGGCAAAAATGAGATGCAAGATTTGGAGAGAAGCTGCAAAAATTCACATCATAAAAAGGAACCAATGCTACATTTTATAATGCCAAATAAGAGACATTCTAACTTAGAGGCATGGTTTGGATTAATCAATACTTCCTTCAGTAACTGGTTTAATAGAATAAAAACAAAAGGCACATCCTTCTCCCTCTCCCCCCTCCCTCTCTTATAGATCTCAAAATAACACAAGAACCATAATACTGAGCAGCCTTTGTTTAAAAAAAAAGACTGCATGTATACATGGCAATTCTACAGAACAAATGTTCAGCAAAGCTCTTAACAGTACCTATAATTCTCCAAGGTACATGTATTTATACACAATATTATAACTATTATTCCTTTTGTTGGGAGACCATGCTGACAGATGCCAAAAATTCAGCTGGAAAAAAGAAATTATTCAAACTCATTTCTCCCCAAGGCTGCAGCACAGTTCTGAACTTCTCTTTGGAAAAGAGGTTTTAGTGGCCTCAATAAATGACATCTTTAGTAGGTTTGGCTTAAAAACTAACCACATCCTAAAGTAGTATTGTGTTTGTCCCCCTTCCTGTGTTTAACTTCTCTGTAGAGAATGAGAAGTGCTGAGAAGGAGAAAAACAAGGTTTCTCCTCTGTGAGTAGCAGAACAAAGTGACATAGTGTCTTCTGGCATGGTCCCTTAGGGTTGGATTCTCTGGTGGCTAATAAGGTGGAAACACACAAAAGTCTTTTGTGCAGATGAGGCACTTGTGACCATTACCATCAGCATAGATCCTCCAGTGTCCAAAGCAGGCAGAGCTCTCTTTGCAGGCTTCCCCTACCAGAGGTACTAACACAAACCCCTTTTTTCTACCTAGTCAACTATCGTCATGAAACCCACAGGATCTTAGTATCTTTAAGACATCTATCATTTTGCAAAATGTCCTTAAGAACCCAAGCTAAGCAAACAATTGCTCTTGGTGAAAAGCCAAGTGAAAAGCTATGGTGATGAATACCATCTTTTAGCTACTGGAAGCCAAGACAGCTGTGAATCCATTACCAAAACACACAGACTAGCAGGAGAGACTGAAGTCACTCAGTTATAGCTGGGAAAGTGAGAAACAGCAGCATACATCAGAGGCCTCCATTACTAAGTGCAGCTGACACAGCTCTTACACAGTATTTTGAAGAGGCGATAATTTTTGCAGAAAAAATAATTTATTAAAGATTTGGAAGCTGTTCCTACAAACAGTTTGTAAAGTAAAACTTCATCCAACTGTGGTTACCACTATGTTGACCTTCCAACAATGATGTCCTCTCTTGCCAATTGGTTAAATAATTGTTGACCAACCTGATCAAGTGGAAAGAAAGCAAAAAAAAAGAGCCCTCAAGGCTGTACAAATGCAAAATAGGTAGCAAATTTTGGCTACTCACCAAATTGGTTATTTCTGCAATGTCTCAATGACCGAACAGTATCTGCAATCATGTGCTGCAAAGACAAGATATAAAACATCAGTGCAAAAATCTGAGATGGATTCGGGCATTAGAAAATCCTGAAAAAAAAAAAATCTCCTTGCCCTACATTGTACAGCAAAAAGCACCTATAGCAAGGTAGAAAGTGAAGACAGCAAAGAGAGACTTTGTTCTTTATCTTAGTGACAATATAGCATGAAACAGGGTTAGTTTTAAAGGTTCTTACTGGTATCACACAGATTAAATGAGAACAACTCCCTAAGAGCCCATGGAAGGTTGTAATGAAAGACAGTCAAACAATTGCATATTTTTGTTCCTGTGACTTTTATTAAACTGAAAGCCTACAGCAGGGAAGTCCCATGGACTGGGTGGGTGGGCGCTTCTGGGTTCAACCCCCAGCTTTAGTGCATTATCCAGGGCAATTGGTAGTCTGCAACCTCTCCTGATCTTCACATGTTGTCTAGCTAGATTGTAAGCCCCTTTGTGGCACCCCAGTGTATACCTGTATAACACCTAGCACAATCAGGCACCAGTATCAGCTAGGCCTAAATGCTGCAGAGCAAGCACCCTGACATCTCTGCAGACACATACCAAATAAGACTATACTATTTTAAGAAAAGGTGGTGCTAGCAGAAAAACAGTTTAAGTTTGGTTTCTCGTTCAGGCTCAGGTCTTCAACTTATGAAAATTTTAATTGTTCACTATAAATCAGTAAAATGCGCTCATTCTTGCTAGATGTGGCCCATAAAGTGCTTGAGGTATTATTTTTATTTTATAGTTGCTTCTGTTGCAACTCCTCATCAAATCTAGTAACTAATTTAAGCAAATTGCAATTAGCAGGAATGGTATAATACCTCATGGAAACAGTTGTTGCTCTTCTCGCGTCTCCCTCAAAAATAATCAGAGGCTGAAAGGATTATCTGTCTTGAGCAGAGTATGTTTAAAACCAGAATGACATGCAACAGCTCATCTCTCAACACCCTGGGAGCAGCTTACAAGGCTCCTCCACAGAAAGCTTATCACAAGAGCATGTTTAACAGAAACTTTGTATTCCCTGAGTGAATCCAAATTTTTCTTGTTACCCACTGTGCTTCATTTGCCATGAAATCCTGCAATCTCTTGTGCTGATGTACTTGCACTGATTCTAATGGATGATCTAGATTTCATGATCAATAGTACAAGTACTGGGAACTACAACTTCCACCAGTGCTGCAGCTGTGATGCCCTGTGCATTTGACTTTCAGAACAGAGACTCCGCTATTACACACACTCTCATTCTTTGCTGTTTCTCCTTTGTAGTCAGTAGTGTGGGAGTCCATCCCAAGACTGGCTTCTGAAGGTGATGCTGTGGTAACAGAAGAACCTCTTTGTGTAACACTCTCTTAAAGCAAAATCCCAAATCTCCTGACTTTAGTAACCTAATATGGCATTTATCTCTGTCTGTTTTAACAACTTTCTGGGATCCAACTGTAACACAGAAAATCAGCCAATTCATCTGCAAAGCAAATACTATTTCCTGACTGTTTAAACAGGTGTTAGTGTGATGAATATACATTTCTTGGGGCTTTTCAGGCTAACAGCTACCTAGGATCATTAGCACTCTTTTAACTGAGGAAAGCAAAAACTCAGGCTTGGGAGTTGCACAGATATTTGGGGTGTGGGGGTTGAGAATCTTCAGCTGCATGTACACAGTCTTTTACAGCTAAATGTGCTAGTAAGAAGGTGTTATTTAAAATGGTAATGGCCATTGACTTTATTAGTTTTCTGGGATGTGGCTAAGACAAGCCATTGCTAAAATATTGGTGATGGTTGACTGGAGAAAAGAAAAATAAATGAAAAAGTCACGTTTCAGTGAACCAGCCCAGTAAATACCATAGAAATACCTTGAGACACAACAGTATAAGACCATATTTTCATTTATTCCTTCAGATTTAGTTGAGTAAGTGGGTATGGTACTAAATATCAATCTAACACTATTCTAGACTACAGTTTATCCAACATGGAGTTAAATAAACCACTGCGATCCTTTGAACTGTTGCTAAAACTAGGTAACATTCCTGAGACAAAAGATCATTTCATTTTGTTCTCTTTGTAAATTCCCTTCTTTATATTTTGAATTAACTTTGTCTTCACTGTAACCATGTCACGTCAAATCAAATTCAGTTACGGTAAGATTGTTGAGGCCATGATGGTCAAAGAATATAAAAGAAGAAGGGATTGTAGGGAGAGAGAATGTCTTTTACTAAACCAACTGATATAGCTGGGAGAAACCATGGTTCAGACTGACAAGTCCTCCCTCAAGTGAGATGTTTAATGCAGAAATTAAATATTTCAAAATGCTGATCCAAATGGAGACATGAGAAACCATCTTTGCTTTGAAATTCCTAAGCAGAAATTCTATGCGTTTATGACACTAAGTTCCTTCCCCAAAGCAGTAATCTGCTAGGGTAGAATGATTCTTTTCTTTTTTTTCTCCAACAGCAAATTTGCAGGTGAGGTTCAGTGGCTTGATCCAAACCAAGCAAGACTCAATGTCAATCCTAATTTTTCTCAGCAGAGGCCAGAAAGTGCTCAGCACAGTATAGAGCACCAAGGAAGACATTCTTCCTTGAGACAAAGCCCCTATAATTAGAAAAGAAACATGAACTGATGTGTAAATGATCATGTGTGATGCATCTTGTTAGTATGTTCATGCCCACTGACTAAACACCTTAGCATCCAAATGTAATACATGTACTGCCTGAGATTCCACTATACTCATATTTAAATCTCTCCTAAGCACTCACTTCCTAAGCTTGCACTAATGCCTGCATTCATATGTACACAGGTCTCCATGAGACAGCACATTCCTGAGGGCATGATCTGACTAGTAATTTGGAGGAAGTGTCAATTTGAACAACCCTCACCCCAGCACCATCACCTCAGACTGCCCCCCCCCCCCCCCCCCTT